CCCAGAGTAGGTGCTCAGCAAATATTTATTAAATGAATACGCTGATAGCTATAGAGCTCATTAAACTTGGAGTTCTCGTAAATCAGAAATCTAATTGGGAGCAAAGTAGCTAAACACTCGGATATCTCTTCCTGATAAATGAGTGTGCTCACAGGGCTTGACCACCAGCTGCTCCTCCCTGGGGGAGGCCATTAGCTCACCTGCGCGCCTTTCCCTTCCATCCTGGTGCTGGTTCAGCGGGATACTATTAGGGCTGTCTTCCAACCGGCTGAGTCAGACTTTGGTCACTCATTAACCACTGTGACTTCAGAGCAGGTCTTTAATCTGTCAGTGCTTCCGGGCTGGCAGCTGCCAGAGTGCTCCGCACTGGTGTGGAGATAAGAGATGCAGAGATGCGTGGAGCGCATCTACACTGTGTTCTCTGAGAGCATAATTATGAGAGATGGGCGATTTATCGGGTGCCAAGTTTCCCGGGATCCGGAACTGGAGGGCCTGGGTGGCGCTGCCCTGTAGCTGCAGGCAGAGAAGCAGAGCAAAGGGAGGAAGGAGGGAGGAGAAGGAATGCAGCGGCCGCAGTGGCGAGGCGAATGCCCACCGTGCTTGCCTCTCTGTAGTCAGAGGAAAACGGCTCCCCTTTGTGCAGGCCCTCCCCGCCCCCTGCCACCGGAGCCTCCGGGTCACAGTGACAGCTAAACACGCCCCCGTACGCTGTCGCAAATGCCCTCCCTGGCCTTCTAACTGCTTCTGGCTGAGTGAGGCAGAAGAGAAGACCGGAAGTAAAAAGGACATTTGACAAATGTGACAAACAGGGCAGTCGCTGGGCCGAGGAGAGCGGGGCTGGCGCACCACAGCCGGCTCTCTTGAAGTTCTGTCTGGGCGCTGCCGTGCGCTGTCGTTTCCGTGGCGTCTGTGGCCGATTGCGCGCCGCCGTGAAATCGAGGCTGCAGTTGGGGCAGACAGAGGCTGTGTGGCCCATGAAGCCTGAACTATCACCCCCTGAAGGGAGCTTTCGGTCTAGAGAACAAAGACCTACAGCCCCTTCGTCGAAAGGCACACAGGCTCCTGAGACCTCAGACACCCCAGCTTCTTAGGTCCCTCTGCGTCCCGAGCTCTTGGTTCTTTCTGTCCACATTCCCAGTCCCCAGGCTTGGGGACTTCTTGTCGTTTCTGTACCTGGGATGGTGAGGTGGAAAAAGTAAGGTTAAAGTGTTTGCTACTTTTGTGTTAGGGTAGACTTTTTTGTTTCTTTACTTTTTATAAAATGTATGATTAGCCAGCTCCTGTCCCGCCTGTTCATGTCTTCCATGCTCCTGTCCCCCCACTTTTCATGTCTTCAATGCTTCCCCAGACTTCTCTTGGAGAAGGGAAGGTGAGACAAATTAGCACCATCTAATATCACAGGCTAGCCTGTTCTGCAGGGTGTAGAGTATGTAACTAAATCTTTGATCTTTGAACTCATTACTAAGGAGAAGATAAAACTACATGGAGAATTAGAGAAGTGTTAAATGGGAGGGGGCTTTGGGGAAGCTGGAGAAAGCTTTGGTCTTGTAGTTAAAGGGCTGGCTTCAAATCTTGGTCTTCGCAGGATTAATACCGTGTGCCTTAGCATTGGCCCGGTAGCTGCTTTCAACCTTGGTTTCCTCTTCAGTAAAATGAGAACAAACAGTGCCAATCATGTAGGATTTTCGTAAGTAATGAGTTAACTTTTCATGAAAATAATTGTATGTTAAATTATTACATTTAGAATGCTTTTGAAAACACATACTTCAGAAGTATAAGTGTTACTGTGTGGTCAGAGTGGTCTTCATGAAGAGCAGGGGGTTTCAAGTTGGTGCTCGAGTGGAGAGAGAGCCTTTGAGTCGGTGCAGGGGGGGAGGGACAGAATGCTAGTGGTGCCAGCGTGCGGGCACCGGGGACTCGCGAGGACACGGGCCTGGTGTGTGGCAGGGACGCGGCCCAGGTGCAGCCGAGGGGAGCGGAGGCGTGAGTGGGGGGCAGCAGGCCCATGAGCGACAGACTGGCCGGCGTCGGAAGAGGTGCGTCTGCTGCGTGTAAGGCCTGCAGAACCGACGGCTGCTGCACTTGTTAGCAGATGGTGAGTGAGAAAGGTTGTCATTGAGGAGCAAGGTAATTTTCTAGAGAAAGAAGACAGAACACAGTGTGTTTGCAAAAGCCTTTCATGTTGTGTCTACAATAACATTGGGAAATATTATTTAGAGATAGGCTTGAAATCACCTCCTGCTTTTAGAGGTAATATTAAAGCTTAGTGGATAATAGCACGAAAAGATTACATTTCTTTGAGATATCTATATCTATCTGTCTACCTATCTATGTAATTTTATTAAGAAAGTTATACGGAATAGCTGTAAGTAATCAGAAATGGCTGTTCAATTATATTAAGTATTGTTGAGTGTCACGTACTTTTATTTCCCCATTATCTATTAGATACGAAGCCTTTCACAATTTTTTCTGAGATGTACTCTACATGGTCCTGTGGATTTTATACTTTATTTTTTATCACATTAAAAATCTTTCAGTGTCTTTGCCCATTTCATGGTGGGTGAGTTAAGAGGGCACCTGCCCGCACTGTGCTGAGTGTCCAGCAGTTTTTGACCAAAAACAGCCTGACCCCCGTGCCCCACCTCCCTATTCACCCCATCTCGCCCCAAGTGACTTTTTTTTTTTCGTTTTTCTGGATGAAAAAAGCCCTTAAGGGGAAATGTTTTGTCCGTGTGGAAGAGGTGAAACAAAAAACGGCAGAGGCATTAAAAGGCATCAAAATCGAAGAGTTCAGAGACTGTTTTGAGCCGTGGGGAAAAGTCTCGATGGGTGCATTGCATCAAATGGAGAGTACTCTGAAGGTGGCTGAAGTTTCAGCCTGTAAGAATAAATACACAGTTTTTTATACATAAATTCTGTTTTTTGGGAGTCCCCCCCATATGTTCTTCAGCTTTGTGTTTCCTACCAAATTCTGTCTTTATTTCTTTAGTTCTCTGCCTCTGCTTAAAAGTCAGTGCAGATCAGCTCACATTTGTCTTAGGTTTGCTTTGAATCTTCCACATTGGGTGGGAAATGATACACAGGAACACATGGTGCATGGTGCGTGCAAAATGATACACAGGAACAGAGAACTTGCGGGCTCTGGAGAGTGGGTGACAGGCAGTGGTTCAAAAGAAGATCGAATATGATAGGGATTAATATACTATGAGAGATATTAAAAGTGGTTCGCACCCCAGATTTTTACTACCATTATCTAAGGAAGGTTTTTTTTTTTTTAAGATTTTATTTATTTAATTTTTTTAGAGAGGGAAGGGAGGGAGATAGAGAGAGAGAAACATCAATGTGCGGTTGCTGGGGGCCGTGGCCTGCAACCCAGGCATGTGCCCTGACTGGGAATCGAACCTGCGACACTTTGATTCGCAGCCCGCACTCAATCCACTGAGCTATACCAGCCAGGGCTGGAAGTTTTAAAAAAATGCGGGTGACTGGGTCCCACTCTGAGAATATCATTTTTCACGGATCTATGGCAGGGACCGGCGCATATGTGGTTTTCTCCATAATCTCTATAGGTCGTTCTGTACGTAGCCAGGAAAGAAAACTGGTGGGTTATGTATTTTCTGTTCAGCCCTCGAAAGCAGAACTAGTAGCACTGGGGGAACGAAGCAAGACAGAAAAGTACGATGAAAACTGTTCTGGTAGTTAGAACTTTCTCTTCATCCAAGTGTTCAAGTGCACGCGAGTTAACCTTCGTGAAGGATGCTGTGAACATGACTGCTTTGGACAACGTGCAGGACTCAGTCATTCCTTAAATTCATTTTTAAAAAGGAAGAGTGCTTCCGTGCTTCTACATATTTGCCAGGGAGTGTGCTAGGATCAGGCGTGGGCATGCTGAGTCTGAGGTGTTTTGGGGACCTCTAGGGGGAGGTACTGGTGACTCTAAGGCTTTGGAGCTCAGAGGAGAGACGTGGCCAGGAGAACGTTGCTCGTGATGAGCAATGCACGGTCTCTGCGCTCATGGAGCTTATCGTGGACAAGGAGACGTGAAACTGAAGCATTTCTACAAACTTAGCTGGCTGCTCCTTAAACTGTCGTCTCTGTCAGCTAGACTGCTCCCTTCTAGAGCCCGGGGTTGCAAGTGGGTTGTAACTTCCTCAGAAGAGTTCTTTGTAATATTGAGCTGGCCAAAAAGTCCGTCTGGCTTTTTCTATAAAATGAAAGACACATTTTTCATTCTCACCAATAACTTTACTGATTTGGATATTTGGAGCAGGCCAGCTCTCTCCCCGTGTTGGCTCCTGGTGGGGAGAGGCCAGTGCTGCCGCCAAACAGGTTCGCACGCACGAGACAGCCCCGCAGCAGAGAATCACTGACTGACGTGTCAGCAGCACCAGGAATCTTTGCAAACCACTCCTGACATGTTTGACCCGTCCCAGCACCTTCTCCACACACTGCACACCGCACAGACCTTTTTCTGCGTCTCAGCTGCATGTTTACTTTTCGATATTAAAGTGGCTGCACGAAAGTTCACCAGTTCTGACAATTTTTTTTAAATGCACGCTGACAGGACAGCTGTCACAATACAATCTAACAAAATTGTTTTGAGTGAAGTTCAAGACAACTAAGCACTACGAGGGCCATCACACGGAAAAAGCTAAATATACTTTTTGGCCAACCCAGCACCTCTAGAATGAGTGACAGCACATGCAGACATTGAGGTTGATGAGAAAAAGAAAAGCTCTTGTGGTGACTTGTGAGCCCGGGAAATAAAATCTTAGAGAAAGATGTTCAGGATCTCTTTTATTTATGTTTTTCTTTTTTTTTTGCTGTCCTTTCTCTTTATCTCCTAAATTTTCCCGCCTTTTTAACATCGTTGGTATCAGTTCTTAATAGAGATATTTCTTGATCAGCCATTACTCCTTAGTATCTGCTTTTTAAATTCGGTGATATACGCTCAAGAACCTATTAAAAATCTGAAATGAAAGTAACTGTAACAACCGCAGGTACCGAGAGGCGATTCAGAAGTGGGACGAAGCGCTGCAGCTGACCCCGAACGACGCCACGCTGTACGAGATGAAGTCACAGGTGAGGGTGACGCGGAACCTCACTGTCCTTACGCAGTTGCGTGGTGTCTGGTGAGCACCGATGGGCCAAAGTAGCGTTTTCTTCCGTTTTCTTTACTAAATACAATTTATTTGGGAAGAAATGTTACGATATCATTTATGGCTTTTCCTTGTGTACCCAATTTAGAAGTTTGTTTGCCTTCACAATAACGTTGACTGTTCCTCACCCTGACTATGGTGAGGTGTGAGCAGGTGGACGTCTTTGAAGAAGTCGCTGCTGATCTCCTGAAAGAGCGAAGTGTGTTTGCTGTCCTTGGGGGTCGATCGTGGTGGACTTAGCAGTAACGGAGCTGCGTCCGATGGATTGGGTTCTGGATGATGACATTTCCCTGAAAGCGGCCTAGTTCTTAGCAGAAGGTCCCGAGGTTATCAACAGTTGAAAAATAACATTTGTATTTAAAAATACATTTCTGATATTTTGTGGGGAAGTTCACCGTGAGAACCTCTGAGCATTTGGATGAAGCGACCCAGGAGGCTGCAGGTCCCAGCGTGTCGGACGTGCTTCTGGCCGGGAGTGGCTGTCGTGCCCCCTTATCCACCCACTCGCCCGGCCGACTTCTTTCCTGACGGCGGTCTCAGCCTGGGGTGCCCTCCCGTCAGCCTTGATTTTAGTTTATCCCGGAAAAACCCAAATGAATTACGTCTCCTGAGTAAAAGTGGTGTGAGGACCTTCTTTTGGAGAAGTCATTTTCAACCTTTAATATGTACATATTAAGGGCAAGATTGGTGGTGAATTGTATGAAATGAATTATTTAATTTGGAACCTGATAATGGTGGTTGTGTCAGAAATTTTGTGAAATGCATTTGGTCCCGAAATTATAGATGAAATCAGCCCTTTGCTGTAGATCGAAGGTGGAGGTTCTGGAACTCCCCAATTTTGCTGGGGTGTGTGGTGTGAAGAACCAGTTGAGTGAGGGCCCGCGGAGTGTTGGAGTGATTTTTACAGCAGGAGGATGTGCCCCAGGGACAGGAAGTGCGGTTGAACAAATTTAAATTTACCTAGTTTCGCAGCGAGACCTGGGGCCCCTCAGTCCCCACTACGAGTAGAATAAAGGCAAGTGGAGCTGAGAGGTCAGACAGCTCCGAGCTGCCGTGGCCCGGCGTGGCTACGTGGCTCCGGGCAGGTGGACAGTGGGGCTCAGTACTTGGAAAGGGAATGGTCCATATTTTTATAGTTGATGTTTCAGGAATAGGAAGAAGGATATATAATTCCTGACCCTGGACGGCAGTGGTGGGGGTCAGAACCACTGAGATGCTATGTTTACCAGACTAAAAATATGCTTTTGAAAATGAAAAGGGTTGTTCCTGTGTGGTTATCTGTTGGGAGCTTGCTGGTTTGTGGGCATTGCTGACAGTTCTGTGTCTGTTTTTGGCCGTAGGTCCTCATGTCGCTGCACGAAATGTTCCCGGCAGTGCACGCAGCGGAAATGGCCGTGCAGAGGAACCCGCGGTCCTGGGAGTCGTGGCAGACTTTGGGGCGTGCGCAGCTGGGCTTGGGAGAGATAGTCTTGGTAAGGAAGGCAGATGGCTATAATGCTAGCATTTTATTTTGATGGGTTTCGATCAAAAAGTTAACCATTTATCAAATCAGTGCAAAAAAATAAATAGCAAATTACCTCTTAAAGGTATTAAACCACGAACACAGATCAAAGTTACTACTCTTTTTTCCATCATATGCCAACTATATCAGGGTCAGAATATTTTTCAGGTATTTGGAATCATGGAAATTAATAAAAAATGTAACAAAATATCGGCATTTGGTAGACCTCATTTAAGTCTAAAATAAGTAGCTTTGGGGGTAATGCTTCTTGTCATTAAATTCACCGCACTATACAGCGGTGTGAGCGCTTCACCGCGCATCACCATGGGGACGAGAGCACTGACAGAGGACGCCGGGGAAGGCAGGAAGTGGAGTGGGGGAGTGTGGCGGTGATAGCTCTCTGGCCTGAGAAGTTGTAGGCGTCGTGAGGAGAAAAATGGGGAAGTGTAGAAGCTTATAAAAATGAAATACTCATCGTGTAACGTTTACTATAAACTGGCACTTGATGGATTTGTCAGCTTGTCTGAACTGTGCCTTGTAGGTAGCTAAGGCCGCCTAGGTGAGCACTGGCTGTGCGGACCACCCCGCTCTGTTTCACGGGGCTTGTGTGTTCCTGACGGCTGATTTCCCAGAAGTACGTGCGGATCTAATCCAGCAGCGCCAGGCTTCCTTGTTGTCGCTAAGTAAACAAATATTTTTCATGCTTTTATAGGCCTTCGTGGTTAAAAACAAAATAAAAACCAAGTTTCTTTCAAGGCTAAAATTATTGGTAAACCCTGAATTTACCTTTGCTAGCACTGGCCCCGGTGAGTCTTGGATAACTCAGGTTTTCCTGGTGCACTTGTAAATACGTTATTTCTGCTTATGAAATAAATGTGTGTCAAATACTCAGAAATCATAGGTAGGGGATTTTGACGAGAGGAGAGTTGATTGGAATAAAGTAACTTAAAAATGATAATGTGAAGTGGTGAAATTCACAGTAACTGGAAACCAGTGAAGTCAAAGGCCATTTTCTTCTTTGCCATTGAGCATGGTCATCTTTTCTCTCCCGCGGACTTAAATCATAGTAGAGCTGGAAAAGAGGTCAGGGAATTTGGTTTTCTAACAGGTAAAAGAACCAAATAGAAACTTACATAATAATTTTTCCATTTTTCCTTTATTCAGAACTTACATATCAGTGTGCTTTTGCTTGTAAGTGCCTGTGGTAATGGAAAAAAACTCTGGGGCAGAATGTTTAGCAAAATATTGTCCTACAAGGAGAGAAAATATACTGTGCGTGAGATAATGGGTCAGAATTCTAAGTTTTGAAAATCAGACTACCTGTTCAATTCTTCTTTCCTGTTGATGTAGTTATATCCATCATACTTGTATTGTGTAATTTTTGGAAGAATTAAATGTGTTATTTTGTCCTCATTTAATGTGTTTTAGGGTTCTACTTGAAAAAAATCTAAATTTGTAATTTTTATGTAAAATATGTTTTTTAAAAAATTTATTGCTTGTAGGGAGAGATGATGGGAGACAGAGAGAGAAACATTGATTCATTGTTCCCCTTATTTGTGCATTCACTGGTTAGTTCTTGTATGTGCCCTGATGAGAATCGAACCCACAACCTTAGTGTATTGGGATGATGCTCTAACCAACTGAGCTGCCTGGCCAGAGCTAAACTTAATGTCATTTTGAAAGACTGGAATGGTTAAAAATTGCTTTGCTCAATGTCATAATGAAGTGATACAGTCAAACCTCAGTTCTTGAACCTCTCCCATCTTGAGCAGTTTGGTTCTTGACCAAATTATACATGGAAAAAAGTGTCTCTGATCATTGAACAAAACTTTGGTTCTTGACTGTACCACCCTCTCATGCTGACCTGTGTGATCAGTCATGCATGCATCCCTAAGGCGTGATGGAGTGTTTGAACAAGTCGCTTCTCGAACATTCTTCCGGAACAAATAAAGTTCAAGAACTGAGCTTCTACTGTACTATGAAAAATATATTGAAAGCAAGCTGAAATTTCTAACGTATAATAATTCTTCCTACAGGGGTAGGTCAAAAACAGGTTTGCAGTTGGTTGTACAAGAAACAATACAATAATTAATAAGTAATATAAGGATAAACTGTATTTTGTGTACTCACAACTGTAAACCTACTTTTGCCCTACCCTGTGTATAAAAACATAACAAAATATGTAGTTAAATAGAACAGGTAATAAATTAAAAGTCAAGAGTTGGGTATATGTCTATGAGTAATTATTTAGATTTTTATGCAGAATTGGTTGTGTATATTGGAAAATGATTATAGGCTTTGTTTGGTCTTTTTTTTTTAATTCTATTTTAATTGTTGTTGAAGCACAATTTTCTATCTTTTACTCCCATTTTCTAATTTTTGAGTTTAGAGGTAGGCTTCTTTACTTGAGATTTTTTTTTAACATAGGCATGTACAGAGACTCCCTTCTTAGTGCTGCTTTTGCAGCATCCCATACTTTCCGTGTATTTTCATTCCCATGTGTGTCAAGATACCTTCTAATTTCTCTTTTGATTTCTTTTTGAACTTACCGATTGTTCAAGAGTACGTTGATTTCTACATACTGTGAATTCCCCAGTTATCCTTTTGCAATAATTTGTAGTTTTATTCCATTAGAGTCAGAAAAGATGGTTGGATGGTTAGTATGTCTTTTTAAATTTGGGTTTTTCTTTTTTTTTCAGTGCGAATTTTCTTTTTATTTATTTATTCATTTAAAAAATATTTCATTATGTATGCTATTATGGTTGTCCCAAAGACTTGTGTTGTGATACAGCATGGGGCCTGTAGAGGAAGGTGTTCCCCGTGTGCCTGGGAAGAGTGTGTGTTCTCTGCGGCCGGCCGTGGGGCGGAGTGCTGTGCAGAGGTCTGGTACCGGTCCCTGCGCTCCGCGGGCTTGTCCCGGTCTCCGCTTCCCTACCGGTTTTTCGTCCGCGGTTCCGTCAGTGTTCGCTTTCTATGCTAGGGTGTTCTGACACTGGGTGTGCGTATGGTTACAGTCGTTAAGTAATTCTGGGGAACTGACCCTGGTGTCACTGTGCAGTGTCTGCCTTTGTCTCCTCTGACACGCGGCTTCAAAGGCGTGCACTCCTGGCGCCTTCCCGACGGCCGTGGGGTAGCCGGGAGAGTCCCTCGATTCGTGCATTTGCTGGTCTGCAGAAGCCGAGCAACGCACTCGCCTCGTTCTGAACCACAGTCTCTCTGTTTGAACGGACTTTTAGTCCTCATCGGCAGTGCGTCGGTCACTTTCTTTCACACTTTCATAACCTTTGTCTTTTTCATCGTGATCATCATTAGTGGTAGGACACAGCCTTAACTTCCTTCCTTATAGTCTATTATGTTAAAAAAATATGTGTATATTATCTGTACCTACATATACATACATATATATGTGGATATTGTGGATTATGTTAAATACATTCATTTTTTAAAACAAAGCAAAGAAAACAACAAAAACACCTGACCTTTTCTTTCCCTAGGCAATTCGAAGTTTCCAAGTAGCCCTTCACATCTACCCGATGAACCCTGAAATATGGAAAGAAGACCTTTCTTGGGCAAGAACGCTCCACGAGCAGCAGAAGGTAGCCCAGAGGGTTAAAAAAAGTGCGGCACCCGCGGAAGCAACCCACGTCTCACCGAAGTCAATCCCCGACTATGACTTTGAAAGTGATGAGATCGTGGCTGTTTGTGCAGCTATTGCTGAAAAACAAAAGCCCGTGTCAGCAAGTAAAACAGTGGTTATTGTGTCAGCCTCTGGGACCGTAGAGACTGTCACGGAGCAGGAGGACGGTGCTGCGTCACCCGATGGCTCCGTGTTTATCAAAGCCCGATGAGGCTGAGCAGGGGTTGTCTGAGTCTACCTTGTCGACCGCCACTTCAGGTTGTAGGCCTACAGGCGTTTACTCTGGAGAAACTGGGCAAAAGCGCTGTTTGTAAAGTCAGTTTTTCACAGGAGGCAGATCAAAACTAACGGGTAGAATTATTATGTAGTGTTGGGACTATGCTTTGATAAGTTATGGTTTAAACTTATTAAGACTGGAATTCTGACTACGATGGTTTTGATTAATAAACGTCATCCAAATATAGAAGCGAACACATTTTAAGTACATCGCTTGCAAATGAATGCTCGCCTGGTGAATGACTTGCTGGCCAGTGTTGCGAAAATGTTGACTTGTCGATGTTTTTATGGTAAAAGGAAGTCGGTGATTGGTTTCCCTCCTAAAAATACACTGCTGTTCCTATTCAGTCTTCTATTTTTTGGTTTCATTAGAGTAACTGTGCCACAAAACTTGAATATTTTTGATGTTCGTTTGGATTCAAGGTTTTCATTTGGTTACATGCAGATTCTTTGAAAGTTCAGCTGGAAATGCATGCACATGTGTACATTCTGGACATTTTCTGCAGCTTCTGTTAATTCTAATTTATGCTTCTTTTGACTTTGACTTCAAAATAAGTATAACCATGGTTGTTGCCACCTTCAGTATTTGTTGGAGGTACGAAGTACTTACTGATAAATGTGAGAATGATGTTTGTTTTGTTTTTTTAACAATGGTAGACAGTCTTTACCACAGTCAATTCACTTTTAAAAAAATACATTTTATTGATTATGCCATTACAGTTGTCTCAATTTCCCCCTCTGCCCCCTCCGCCTAGTGTCCCCTCTCCTTAGTTCATGTCCATGCGTCATGCGTGTAAGTTCTTCGGCCTCTCCATTTCCTGTTCTGTTCTTGACATCCCCCTATTTTGTACCTTCCAATTTGTGCTTCTTCATCCTTGTACCTTTCCCTCCATTTTCCCCCTTCCTCCTCCCAACTGATAACCCTCCAAATGACCTGTAGATCTCTGCTTCTGTTTCTGCTGTGCTTGTTTGCTTGGCTTATTATTTGGATTCAATAATGGATAGTTGTGAATTTATTGCCATTTTAATGTTCCTCATTTTGATCTCCCTTTTCTTGTATAGTATTCCCTTTAGCATTTTATGTAATAATGGCTTGGTGATGATGAACTCCTTCAGCTTCACCTTATCTGGGAAACACTTTATCTGCCCTTCCATTCTAAAGAACAGCTTTGCTAGGTAGAGTCATCTAGGTTGCAGATCCTTGCTTTCATCACTTTGAATACTTCTTGCCAGTCTCCTCTAGCCTGCAAAGTATCTTTTGAGAGGTCAGCTGACCATCTTATGGGAACTCCTTTGTAGGAAATTGCTTTCCTCTTGCTGCTTTTAAGATTCTCGATCTTTAACCTTTGGCATTTTAATTATGATGTGTCTTGGTGTGGTCCTCTTTGGGTCCCACTTGTTTGGGACTCTCCGTACTTCCTGGACTTGTGTGCCTATTTCCTTCACCAAATTAGGGAGGTTTTTCATTATTTTTTTTCAAATAAGCTTTCACTTTCTTGCTCTTCCTCTTCTCCTTCTGGCACCCCTATGATTCGGATGTTGGTACATTTAAAGGTGTTCCAGAGGTTCCTAATCCTGTCCTTGTTTTTATGAATTCTTTTTTCTTCCTGCTGTTATAATTGAATGCTTTTTCCTTCCTTGTGTTCCAAATTGTTGATTTGATTCTCCACTTCATCCTCTTCACTGTTGATTCCCTATAGATTTTTCTTTATTTCACTTAATGGAAACTCCATTTCTGCCTGGGTCTTTTTTATGGCATTGAAGTACCCACGGAGTTCCTGGAGCATCCTGATAACCAGTATTTTGAACTGTGCATCCAGTAGGTTGCTTAGCTCCATTTCAATTAGATCTTTTTCTGGAGTTTTGTTTTGTTCTTTCATTTGGGCCATATTTCTTTGTCTCCTCATTTTGGCAGCCTCCCTGTGTTTGTTTCTGTGTGTTAGGTAGAACTTCTTCGACTTCCTGTCTTAGCACACCTGTTAAGCTGTGTGGGGTGGAGCCTTGGGTCATCACTAGGTGAGGGCAACCCCTGTGTCACCCCTCTGTCGCTCCGTGTGGGGGAGGGGCCTGCAGAGGGGACAGTGCACTGCCTGGCCTCTGGAGTTTTGTCCGGAGGAAGCTGTCTCTGCACCCGCACTTCACTTTCTCCCCGTATGCCACTGGTGCCCTTCCAGCTGTTGTCCTTGTCCTGAATCCCAGAGGGGTGGGTCTGCGTGAGTCCTAAATCCATTGTGGGCCCTTTAAGAGGATGCAGTGTCTTCTGCCCACACCCAAACCCCCACTGGTTTTTACAGCCAGAAGTTATGGGGACTTAGCTTCCTGGCACCCTGGGACCCTGGGCTGGGTGGTCGGACTGGGGCTGGGGTCCCTCACTCCTGAGGTATCCTTCCCATTTCTTTAGCCACCACACCTGGGTGTGGGGCCGCCCTTCCTGTTTCCACGCCTCTCTGCACCGGTCAGGGTCTCTACCCCTGCTGCCGTCTGGATGCATGTGGCTTCTTTAAATCCTTGGTTGTCCACAACCAAGGCTCCTTTAAACGCTGTAAATCCACAGCCAGATTGTCTGACAGTGCTGGGTGATGATCGTTCTGTAGTGTGGCTGTAGTTTGTGCTGTGGTTGTGCGCAGAGGCGAGACGTGTTTACCTGTGCCTCCATCTTGATCAGCAGTTGCAGGTCATTGTCTAGATGTGCATTTTTTAAAATGAACGGCTCTTGTAGCTGCATCATAAATCGTACTGCAACATTGCCCTGGTCACAAGCAGCATTTTCTTTATTTTCAAACGCTTAAAGCCCTGATTGGTGTGGCTTAGTGGGTTGGGGCATCATCCCACAAACCAAAAGGTCGCTTGTTCAGTCAGGGCACATGCCCGGGCTGCAGACTCGGTCTCTGGTTGGGGGTGCTCGAGAGACAACAGACTGATGCCTCTCTTGTACATCGATGTTCCTCTCCCCATCTTTCCCCCTTGCCCTCTCTCTAAAAATAAATAAATAAAATCTTAAAAAAAAAAGCTTGAAAGCCTTGAATATAGCTTATCATTTGCTTATAACTTTCCAGCTGATGGTTTGGGATTCCTTTTGTAGATAACTTGTTTGGAACTAGTCAGTAAAAGAGAAATAACTGTAATTTTAAATAACTAAATTATATCTTTCTAAAGAAAAAGCAGGGATGTGACTGTTAGCGTTCTGGTGAGTGACTAACTTAGGCACAGCACACGTGGGCACTAACATGTGATTTGTGGGACGATCCCATGCGTGGAGAAGGGCGTACTGAAGAAATAGTTCATTGAAACACCCCAGTGATGTCCACAGATCAGTATTGCCATTGCTGATGTGAAGGATTATTTTTGTAGTACACACATTGCAGTACAGTTACATAGAACTGCTGGAAACTGTTACTTCTGACACTCAGGGAGCTATTATTGATAGACATTTAATTTAATCTTTGTCAGAGATGAAAGTGTGTTACTTTATTTTAAGAAATCTAATCCTGTTGGAGCATGCAAGTAATGGTTTATATTTTTCTGAGATGATTTGTGAAATTCTTCTTTCAGTGGAATGTTTACCTCTTATTTCAGAGTCAGAGAAGTCAGCACTTACCTTGAAAAGTGTTACCTTTTCTCCAAAGTTATACTAGAAAATTAGCTCTGGTTGGAGAGGTTAGTTTTAGAATGATCCAAGAAAAAAAACAAATAATAATTCTATTTTATTCTGTTTAGTAAGAAATATTCTCAAAAGGTAGATAGTTGGGTGTCTAGAGAAACTGGTATGTTGTTTTGAGTAATGGGTATTTGTTTATTGTGTAATTTGTGAATAGTTTTTTATGTATTTTAATGTTTTGCTTATTTTGTGTTACGAGCTTTTGAAAAGTTAGATTGATTTCTTCCTTATGTGAAATAAAATATGTGAAGCACTGTGTATAGTACCTCACATGTGACTGACTCAGTATGTGCCAGCTTTTTCTACGAAGAGCTCGGATCAGTTTGGAGATAGTGAATAATTTGGAGATATAGGAATTCTTCCGATTTTAAGAAAGGAAGAGAATTTCTTTGTAATTTTTTCCTTATCTGAAAGTGAGAAGTCACTGCTTTCGATGTTGCAGGCCACAGGTGGTTATCGGTTGGGGCTTGTTCCTGGAACGAGGTCTCAGCCCCCAACACGGCCAGACCCAGGAGGCAGTGCGCGCCGCCCCTGGATGATGCTGCGTAGAGAACCCTGTGTTTCCTCCCGGGTGACCTCCGCGGGCCGGGTCCGTCCCTTCCCCGCTCGGATATGAGACGTAAAATGCTCCGCACACAGCATGGGGGAGAAGAAGAATCAGGGGGAAGAAGGCAGCTCATGGCTCCAGGCCCCAGAAGATGCTTGGCTGACGCTCTTCCGTGCGTGGAGGGGAAGGTGCGAACAGTGTTTCATACGGATGCGGATGCCGATGCGCTGACCTTTACTGAACTGACTGTGACAGCACATTTTCTTACCTGAAAGAAAAGTAATAGATGCTCGTGATAGTAGTGTAATTAAATGTGTTTAGTATGCTTTCTGAAACAACACTAAGCAGGAAAATTTCATGGAATAATGTTTGTGTGTTCCTTGGCTGAAAACTGTCTGGCCTAGATGGTCAGTGGTCAGGACACTGCACGCCGGCCCCAGGCCTGGTAATTCGAGGGTCACACACTATTCTCTCTTTTTTTTTTTTAAGGTAAGTTTGTTCTTTTTTTTTAAAATCATTGTTCAAGTACAGTTTTCTCCCTTTTACTCCCAATCCAGCCCACCCACCCAACCCTCCCCACTTCCCTCCCATTACCACCCTCCCCCTAGCTTTTGCCCATGTGTCCTTTAAATTTGTTCCTGTAAACCCTTCCCATTCTCCCCTGAAATTCCCTCTTCTCTCCCCTCTGAACACTGTCAGCCTGGTCTCTATTTCAGTGTCTTTGGTTCTATTTTGCGTGTTTCTTTGTTATGTTGTTTAGGTTCCTGTTAAAGGTGAGATCACATGGTATTTGTCTTTCACTGCCCTGGTTGTTTCGCTTAGCATGATGCTTTCCAGCTCCATCCACACACTATTCTCTAGACAGCGGGTTCTTAGATTACGGACTGTTCATCTTCAGTCTGCTAACCAGTGCTACGTAAACACTGGGAAGTCACGCGAGGCACAGATCACGGGGCCTGAATGTCGCCTCTGGGGTCTCTGCCCGACGTTTTATGGTAGCAATCTCAGTGTGGAGCAATTTTACACGGATGCCCTGTGGCCGGACCGTAATGAAGACGAAAGAGGCGTGTCTCAGAAAGCTGGAGTGTCCTGGAGCATAGCTGATCGGGGTGGCCTTTTTAGCTCGGAAGTTTTGTCGCATGTCACGATGTCAACAGCTTGTCTCATCGCCTTTCCAAGTGGCTGGAAAGCGGTCGTTCCTTCAGCTTCAGGCTTCCGGAGTCAGAAGCCCTTCTCAGCCGACCCTGGACATCGATTTCATGACGTAATGCACCTAAATGAGTTTTGAGTCGACACAAGAATCATAATTTCATAATTGTCTTCAAATCAATAGCTGTATTAAATATGTTTTCTTCCTGAGAGATGATTACACTGATGGTGTATTTTGTAATCGGTGGCATTTTGGGATTGAGAAAGTAATTTTATTTTTTAACCAGGACTACAGAAATCTGCAAATGGTTTGCTCATTACCAAAGTAAATTGAGATATGTCAGTGTACTCACTTACAATTAAATGCACTCACGTGAATGGAAGACAAGGGGAGGCCCTGCAGCTAGCGTACCGTGAATTGTGCCTTAGCGTGTGTTGTGTGTGGTCGTCACCTGTTGCATGGGCCGAGGTGCAGGAAAGGCGGAGAACTGTTGATCTTCACTTGGCGGGGAAGGTGGTAAAGATGGCTTCCTTCCACAGTGCTGCTTTGGACATCCGGTAACCGAGGAATCCTGATCTCTCCCTTTTCTTTTCTCCCTTGTCCTCAGGAGAGGGAGTTTAGGGGAAGTCCCCGGACGTGAAAGCTCCCTTCTCCCCTTCTTTGGACTGATGGTGCCTGCGCAGAGCCAAGCCTGACAGATACCCAGGCCTTGCAGGGAAGGCACTCCATGTGTCTCCCAGGGGCTGTGCCGGACGGCCCACGCCCTGGTGAGCAGGTCTGTCTAGTTTGGGGTTGATGCTTAGTGGCCACGGTTGGCACAGACCTAAGTTACATCCTCTCACCCAGACTTCTTCAGCAATAAATCTGGCCTTCTTGTTCTCCATCTGCCTGACTCCTTTTGTCCTTCAAGTGGCTCAGAAATCAGGAGGGGGCAGAGGGGCATTACATGACTCCCTCTAACCCCAGCGGGTTGTATTTCCAAGTGAGCACGAGACAGAAACCAAATGAGGGCATTTTGTCTGATTTCAGATTTTTTTTAAACCACGCAAATTCTGTTGAAAATGGGTGATGCTAATTACAAGGTAACATTTGTTCAAGTGTAATTTACATAGAGTAAAACATCCATTGTGAATGCACAGTTTGAGGAGTTTAGACAAACGTGAACACCTATGCAATCAGTCACCATTACCACGGAGATGTAGACTTATTTCCAGCACCCAGGAAGTTCTGTTACACCCATTTGCAGTCTTTCCCCTTCGCCCCAACAACCAGCACTCTCCTGCTTCCTGTAGCTATAAATTAGGCTTGACTGTTCTAGAATTTCAAATACAGGCGTGTCCTCTGTGTCTGACATTTTTGCTCAGTGTAATACTTTTGAAATCTATGTTGAGCTTGATCCATGTTATTGTGCCTATCAGTAATATGTTCCTTTTTTTTATTTCTGGGTATTATTCTGTTGTATGGATATACCACAATCTGTAGCTTTTCCTATTGTTGATGGACATCTGGGTGGTTGCTGAATATCTGAAGCTTTGCTGTGTTATAAATAAAGCTGCTATGTGTGTATGTCACAAGTCTGTGTGTAGATGTGTGTTTTCGTTTCTCTTGGTAAATGCCCGGGGGTGGCATTGCTGAGTCTGTGGTGAGTATATGTGTAACTTCAGAGGAAACTATGACACTTGTCCAGTTTGTATTCCTACCAGCAATGGAGTAAAAAGTTTCAGTTGCTCTGTATCCTTGTCAATGCTTGGTATTGTCATTGTTTTTCATTTGAGTCAGTTTAGTGGATGAGTGGTGGTATCTTGGTGGTTTTAGTATAAAACACTTCCCTGGTGATTGAAGTGACATTTGTATCTTCTTTTGAGAAGTACCTGTTCAAATATTTTGCCCAATTTTAAGTTGAGTTATTCTTGAGCTTTAAGATTTTTTCCATATTCTGGATAGAAACTCTTCATGAGATATATGTATTGTAAATATTTTATCCCTCTCTGTGGCTTGCCTTTTTGTTAATGACACCTTTTGAAGAGCAGAAGTTTTTAATTTTGATGAAGTCTAATTTTTGTATTTTTTTCTTTTATGGTTGTATTTTCTGTAGACTGAGAAATTTCTCCAAAATCAGAAAGATTTTCTATCTTTCTACCAGAAGTTTTACAGTGTTAGCTTTATGGTGGGGTCTGTGGTTCATTTCACATTCACTTGATGTGTGATGATGAGGTGCAGGTTGAGGTTTTGTTCTGATGTCCAGTTATTCGAGCACTATCCGTCGGAGAAACTGTCCTTTCCTGCTGAAACACCTTGGCATCTTTGTTGAACGCCAATTCACCCTGCACTGAAGGCTTGTCTGAGCTCTGTGTTCTGTTACACCAATCTGTATGTCCATTCTTACGCCAATAACAAACTGCCTTGATTATTAGCTTAAAAATTGTTTTAAAAATCAGTGATTTTTCCAACTTTGTCCCTCCCTCTGCATTCCTTGAGAGCCAGAAAACTTTTGGTTTTCTCCTTTGAGAGAAACCAAAAAACTTGTTTTGCTTTTCTAGTCTCTTTGCCTCTCCATATACGTTTTAGAATCAACTTGTCCCTAATTACGTGCAAGTCTGCCTGGATTTTGATTGGAATTGTGTTGACGCTATAAATCAGAAAGAATTGCCATCTTAACAATGTTGTGTCTTTGAATCCATGACCGTGGCATAACTGCCATTGTTGTAAGTCTGACTTCATGTTTTTTAATTATCTGCGGATAGGTCTTGCCCATATTAAGTTTGTCCCTAAATATTTCATGTGTTTGATGCTATTACAGGGAGTGCTTTTAAAATCTTCTTTTCCAGTTTGATACTATCACATGGAAATACACTTGATTTTTGTATATTGACTTTGTAGCCTGTGAGGGTCAGACGTTCTCTCTTGTTACAAGTCTCTTTTTGTCTGGTTCCCTTGGTGGAGCACTTGGAGAGCAATAATGAGACGGTCACTCGCAGCATCCTAGACTTGGGTTCGGGGGTCGGGATGCTGGGGTGGAAGAGAGAAGACTTCCTGGCTCGTTTTGTTTTGAAATTAGCACAAGTAATTTAGGGGAATTACTTGTGAATATTTTGAATATTACTAATGAATATTTTGCGTTAAGGTTTAGGGCCCAAGGCGTAGCTGCTAGTAAATACAAATTTGCCTCGACTGTTCCGTGGCTTTTTCTGTTTGTGGCTCCGGTAAGGAACTTGTGGAGAGAGGTGGCTGTGTTTTGAGAAAGGACTCTTGCATTCCATGGTCTTAATGGTCCACGTAGCTGAGCGTTTTTTCTAAAATGTTTGACCTGGTTGTTTTGAGTGTCTTAGAGGTTATGAGATGGCGTTAGAATTACTTGTCTGCTAGATACCCTGTTGGGACAAGGTAAGGTTTCACACCAGTCAGTGTTGACTCTGAAGCTCTGTATGGTCTTGAACAAGGTTCCCACAAAAACCCATCTGTGTGTAACGCAGCTGGTAAGCCTTACAAATAAATGTGGAAGAAAGAATAAATGTGGATGGCAAATACTATTGGCATTTTTCTTCTTTGGCTATTCTTTTAAGAATAAGTCAGACCTTCCTTGGCTGAGTAGCTTTGTTGGTTGGAGTGTCGTCTCGAGACCCAAGGTTGTGGGTTCGATCCCCAGTCAGGGCACATGGCAAGAATCAGCCAATGAATGAATAGATAGGTGGAACAACAAATTGATGTTCCTCTCTCTCTCTCAAAAAAAAATCAGTAAAAAAATTTAATAAACAGATGTTCTCCAAACTCTTTAAAAGAAAGAAAAAAAAACAACTCTAGACCCAACAATAAAGACATTGTATGGACTGAATTGTGTCCCACCCCCATTCATAGGGTGAATATCTAATTCCCATTGTGACTATTTGGAGATAGGGCCTTTAAGGAGATAATGAAGGTTCCATGACAAGGGTGAATGATCCTTAAATTATCCAGGGTATTATCCTAGGCCATGGTACAATAAAGGTGGGCCCAACGAAGAGAGACCAGGGACGCGTGCGCACAGAGAGAAGGCCGTGTGACGGCACCGCCAGGAGGTGGCCGCCTGCAAACCAGAAAGAGAGCACATTCCAGGAGTCAGATCTGCCAGCACCTTGATCTTGGACTTCCCGCTTCCGGAACTGTGAGAAAATGAATTTCTGTTGAAGTTGCCCAGTCTGTGGTGTTTTGTTATGGCAGCCCCAGCAAACTAATACAGACATGTAATCCAGTTAAAAAGATTTGAATAGATGTTTTTCGTGGCCAATAAGCGTATGAAAAGATTCTCAGCATCAGTAGTTACTAGGGGAATGCAAATCAAAACTACAGTTGGCCACTTCATACTGTTAGGATGGCTACAATCAGAAACATGGGCAATAACAAGTATTGATGAGAACGTGGAGGGACTGGAACCCTTGTCTTTTGCTGGTGGGAATATAAAATGGTGTAGCCACTTGGAAAAAATAGTTTGGTAGGTCCTCAAAAATTTAAATGTAGGTACCATATGACCCAGCAATATCCCTCCAGATAGATACAGTTGAGAGCATGTTAACATAAACCTTGTGTGCAAATGCTGCTATCAGCATAGTTAATAATGGCCAAGAAGTGGAAACAACACAGATGCCCATCAGCGGGTGCATGGATAAACAAAGGTGGTATGTCCATACAAGGAAATATTATTCAGCCATAAAGAAGGAACGAAGTACTGACTCACGCTACCATGTGGATGAACCTTGGAAACACGCTAAGTGGCAGAAGCCAGCCGGTGAAGACCACCTAAATAATAAAGTGCACGATTCTATTAACGTCCAGAATAGGCAAATCCACACAGGGGCTGCCAGGGGCGGGGGGCAGGGAGTAGGGGAAGAATGCGAATGGGTGTGTGGTTGGTTTTGGGGACGGTGAAAATGCCCTGGAATTGGGTAGCAGTGATGATCGTTGCACTCCGTGAGCATACTAAGACACAAGGCAAATTTGAAAATATGTGGGTTATGTTTCAGTTAAGAAGACTCAGCCAGAACCAGGGTTCCGGATGGCGAACCTGCAGTGGAGGATGGGCGGCTTTACGCCCTGAGATGGTGTTAGGGCAGCCGGCTTGTGAACCAGGACTTTGTTTTCCCTCCGTGGACATGGGTGATGAACATGTACTTATATGTATATATTCATTTCTATGTGAGTCTAGGTGTTACCTCATTGTTTGTGTATGTCGGGGTGGGGGGGTCCTCTTCCACAAGTAACATTCTCTGAAAACATCATTTCTTAGGCATTGGATGGTCTCGTTGATGAACTAGGACTATTTCTGTCGGTGAAATAGAACATTTTAGAAGCTGGAGCCAGATGCCCCTTTTCTGAGCCGTCCCTGCCTCGGCTGAGAACCACTGAGCCATCCGGTCTGTGAAAACGACGGTCTTGTTTTTCTGACGTCACCCAAAAATACATCGGAACACTTGCCAGGAGCCAACGATGACCTCGCTCCTCAGCGCCACCTAGGGGCTTTCTAGAAATGGGCACAACCCCTCTGGGCGACTGCCACCTGCCGCAGTGTGAGGACCGCTGAGCTAGAGGATCTACCAGCAGGAGGTGACTCCATGTCTCCCGCCGCCCGCACGCACCGGGGATTCTGCGCGTGCCTCGCACCTGCGTCTGGGATTCTAAACGCCCTTCTCCACTGAGTAGATCCAAGGCTTCGTCCTGTTCTTGCACCTGTCCTCTAAATTGGACATTATTTCAAAATAAATTAAAAAAAAATTCCAATTGGAAAAGATACAGAAGATACCCTGAAACCAACAGAAACCACACCGTTCTCCAAAACCAAGACTCCGGAACTCAGATTGAGCGTATTTTTATTTGTTATAATCTCAAAATAATTTCAGTTGGTACAACTGCTTCTTTAAACCGTATCACTATCAGGCTCAGAATTGAACTACAACCAAGCGATTCACAAAAAACACTGTTAAGCAACAAAACATGCTTAATGTTTTTTTGAGAAGGTTTCCTTCACATGTGTGCACAGCGTCACGGGGCGCCACACGGAACTGTTAGACGCGGGGACCCTGCGTGCCCCTTGTCTCCCCCTTGTCTCGTGAGACTCTGCTAAGGTCTGTGAAAGGCTGGTTTCACCAGCCCTTTCCCGTCTGGACGTAAAGGTCGTTCCGGGGCCCGCAAATCTGTCTTCCTCTGCTGTTGTCCTGGGCATTCTAGCTCCTCTCTCCAGGAGAGTAAACCTGTGCACAATTCCCGGGGGGAAACAGGCTGCTTAGATGTTTTACTTTTATGTTGTACAGTTCCACTATGGGTACTTATTACAGGCTTTTCAAAATTTTATGTTAACATTTTAAAAAGTACCACTTGGCGGGGACAGAAGTAGAAAATATCGGCCAGCCAGCACGTTGGGTGCTCCAGAAGTCAGTTTTCTGGATGAATGCATGTAGTCAGCACTGAACGTTTTTCGCTGCGTTATATGAAGCACGAGAACAAACCTAAGCATTCTGGACTGGAATTTTCATGTCTTCAATAGTATTTTTCCTTATTCCTATAACCGTACTCTTTCTTGTAAAAAAAAAATCTGTATCCCCTTCATAGTGAGTTTCACTGAATTTTCAACACCTTGGCCTGAACTTGTGTATGAACCCCCTTCCCCCCAAACCAAGCATCTATAACTTCAGCTAGTTATACTGGGAATAGAGGGGTTACCATACTTTTATTATACCTTGTATTGACAATAAACCTTCTCACAGAGAAGAAAATACTTTAAATACCTCGAGTCATATTTACAACAATAAAATTCACATTTCATGCTTTAGTGAGACGCTGAAATCACCCCGAAGGTAGTTCTCGCAGTCGCCGCTCCGAAGCGTTTCCACCCTGGCCAGCCGTTGCGGGCCAGGGGCAAAGCGCCTGACGCTCTGAGCACAGCGACACTTCAGCCAGCGTCCTGTCAAGTAGAAGACGAAGGGCCGATCTCGGCGACCAAGTGGTGACCGCAATCCGCCCTGGAGAGGGCCCCCCCACCCCCGCGACAGGTTTCAGGCCACAGGAGCCGCGCGAATCAGCGTGATCGTAAAGCGCTCAAAAAGCAGACTTTCTTTCCGGTGAGTCGCGGGACGAAAATAGCCCTTCTGAGCACAGCTACACCCTTCACTATGTGTCTATTGCACAGGATTTTTAGAAGCTTCCAGAAACAGTGCGGCATTGCTTTCCTTAGCCACTATATACACTTTTCCGAGAAGTTCCGCGTTTCGTTGGGAAACGGGACTTGCAGGGCGCAGCCCTTGGCGCCGGGCCCCGCGCGGCCCGCAGTCTCGCCCACCAGCAGGACGCTCTCCGAGTCCTGCCCCTGCGAGGAGTCCGAGGTCTCCGAGACCCGCAGAGTCCTCAGGGAGGTGGTGTCCACCTGGGCCTGGGGCAGGCTCACGCTGGGCACGCCGGGCAGCAGGCTCCCGCCGCCGCCGCCGGCCAGGCCGTGGTCGCTGAGGTCTGGCAGGTACAGGAGGGTCTGCGACGTGCTGCTGACGTCCCGCAGCTCCCGGGACAGGAAGGAGCGCGAGTGGCCGGACACGGCGGAGGAGGTCCGGCGGCTCTCGGAGCAGTGCTGGCCCGGGAGGTCTCGGCGGGAGCCTCCGATGCGGCAGAACAGGCACTTGATCTTCTCTATGGCTTTGCTGAGCACGGTCTTCCGCAGGAGGATGTATATCCAGGGGTCCAGGATGGGGTTCACCGAGGCGATCCGGATGGCCTGCAGGTCCGGGTTCCTGCTGATCTCTCGCACTAACTTCGGCTGGTACAACTGGTTGACGAACACGCGCACCTGCACCAATGACACGCCCACGGTTAGATTTTATCAGAGATCCACCGGGAACACATTTGCATGCGCTGTTTAATTTAGCAGTTGCGTAAGGTGACCGCCCTCTTTTCTGGTAGTAACTCCCCCCGCCCCCCCACGTCCCCCAAAAAGCAGCATGAGCCTCAGACAGGCCACAGACTGAAATTATACTTATGCTTCAAGTTTGGATACCTTTAAATAGTTTTGTGTCTATCTCATGAATATCTTTCCTAGATCAAAGCTGTGTGCATGGGTGACATATACACAAAGTTCCCCTGAGGAGCATTTTATTAGCTTCATTTCTGCGAGGGCTTTTAAGGTTTGGTCATTCCAATGAAGTCATCCACCGACTTCGATTTCCCCTATTCCAGCTGCCATTTGCATATTTAAAGAAAACTCACTTTGTAAGTCAACTAACCGGCTAGTCATCACAGACAGGCCCAGACATTCCTTTACTGCAGTGTCCAGAGAGAACGCGGGGACAGCCAGCATCTGAATCTCCTGTCATCCAGAATGACCGGCGTGACGCTGCGAGTTTTCCTGGGAGTCTGTTCCCCAGGCATAATCCACTCTTCCTTTAAAAACCCACCCCCCGTCTTTTCCCTCTGCCTGCTTTTCTCATCTGGATTGTCGCATAGGCCATGAAACCAGCTCGCCCAGCCCCGACCACTCCCCCCTCCCATCCGTCCTGCAAACGGCTCCTGGAAGATGACTGCGGGGACGCAGATCTGACCGTGTGGCTCAGCTGCTCCCGAGGCTCCCTGGTCCTTGAGAACCCCATCGTGTGGTTTTGCTCAACAACTCAGCTCACCCACTCCATCCTGGAACTCTAATCAGAATCCTGCCTTTGTCGCTGGGATGGCATTTGAGCTGGCGAGTGGCCAAGAGCGAAAAGAACGCTCCAGACACCCCAGTGGGGGTGACAACTCACTCCTGTTTAAGTCCAGGGGCACCTGGGCCCACGCACAGACCCACCCCCCCCACCACCACCGGCCAGGGATGGCTTCAGTGAGGCATCTTGGTTTCTGTCTACCGTCACCTCTGTCGAGGTTCTCTGCTGTGTCTGGGCACTGAGAGATTCCTCTCCCTCAGGACAGGTTGCCGAGACCGCGAGGCTTTGAGGAACCGAGCAAGGCCCCCCACTCTGTCGCCGGCCTGGTCCATGTTGCTCTTCGTGTTCTACCAGGCTGGCCCACTTTCTTTTTAACAGTTTTTTTTTCCTGGAGATGAACTACTGATAAAAAGCATGAGGCTTCTATTTTACTCACATCACAGACTATGTTCCTAAGGATAAAAGAAATGAGGGATTTGAAATCAGGCCTCTTCTGAGAGTTCACAGCCTCCAGGGAAAAAACCTGTGGCAAGGTTACTAGAGCTGGAGACTTTCAGCCACCAGGGGGCAGTGTTGCTCCACTTGGGACTTCTTGGTCCCCAAGAACCTTCCTAAGAACCTTTTGCCCAGCCATCTCCAAGACTCTTCAGAATAGAGTCTTGGTTAAGTCTGAACTTGGCATTTCTGATCTTTTTAACCTTTAGGTGTTTTGTTGCTGATTGCTTCTCCCTCCACTACCTCAGAGAAAACATGGTTACTAATGAAAGGAAGAGAATTTTGGGGCAGTTAAAATGGATATAAAAGGAATGAAATTTGTAGCTATTTAAGGGAATGTATTAAAAGTTAGCATTTTATTTTAAAAATTTTAGGACCTTTTTTAGAAAAGTCAGAGTGTTGTAAAAACATGAATAATGGGCTTTCATAATCTGAGGTGATGGTAGGCTAGGAAAGAATCATTTCTGAGCCTTAGTCTGCCCACAGCAGTAATTAATTTTGAATACTGTAGAAGGAAATGAAGGAAAGCCCTACTTAATATAATTTACTTATTTATTTTGACAGGAGTAAAGGATACAAGTTTATTAGTATTTTTTACATGCACAGGAGTTCACAAAAAAGTAACTAAAAAAAGGCTCGTATAACCCTTCTTAATAAAGAAGAGAGGTTTTGGGCTTCCAGGCAGGTCAATGTGGGGCAGTAACTAGGGGCTGTACGTGGGAACTAGTGGAAGACAAGTTGTTATTATATTATTATTATTACTGTAAAGTAAGGTTTATGCACGCTCATCTTGGTGCTGGCTCTGTCTCCTGTGATAAGGCTCACTCTTCTCATCCTGGTCCTGGGGAGGAAGGGGGGGAGGGAGGAGATTTATGCCACCTTCGTGAAGGGAAATTTATGCCCTGCTTTTAGGCAGATAAGGGCAGGAAACTAAGGAAGCCCTATTTTAGAATTCCATAGTAGGCAGGGTTGGGGGGGAGGGGGGAGGGGGCGGGGAAGTGTACAATTAACACAAGGCTCTGAGCTTGGTCCCTGTTACCATTTCAGCAATGGGGAGTTCACAGGGTGGCAAAAAGATGAGCAGAAAAAGCAGCATCTCAAATTCAGGTGAAAAAACAAACAAACAAACATTCTCAGAAGTTGGTGAAATTATTTGAAAAGAATCAAGATGATGAGTTAGGCTTTGCAGCATGTTCTCAACAGAAATTGATCTGACGTACCAAAAAAAAAAAGAGAGACAAAAATGAACATAAGCTCCACACACTTTGTAACATTGAAGAAAGCAGAGCAAACTCTGCCTCCCTGTAAAGGCTACTTGATTTGTTCTTTCCAAAGAGGGACCCCCCCCCCAGGTTCAGAGGGGACTGTCCACCGTGGTGTCACGTGGGCAGGTGAAGAAAGCACTTGTCTGGCGGTCGGGTCCAAGGGGCCCGATATGCTACACAAGTGAGCCCGCCCGGGTGGTTTTCAGTGTTGGGAGAGCGTGCTGCTGCTGCTGGGGCTGCTAAAAAATGGAACCTCGGAGTCAGGGGGTGGGGAAAACACCACGAAACGCTCACCGAATACAAACAACCTGCACAATCTCTTGCACTTTTAAAAGCGAGCCGGTTTTCTTTATAGCTGGGGATGGGCCCAGGTAGTTTACTGCTCGTAGCGGCCTCCCTGACAATATTCTCAACTCCTTGAGAATATTGACTAGAGGTGAGGGTGCAGGAGAAAATGTGGTGAGTGTAACAAAGGATGTGATGGCAGCCAACGTACGAGGAGGCTGTCTGCTGTAGAGTGACATGCCCGAACGTCAAACAACCTGTGTTCAGATCCTGGCTCTGCTCCTTGTCATGTACGTAGAAATGATGAAAGCACTTAGTGGAATGGCTAACATATAACGTATGGGCTGGCTGCCATCCCTCTTTTGCTCACCTGTATGTAGCTGCTCGGTCGCTGTGGAATAATATATCAAGAATGTAAAAACCACAGCACAGAGGTAGCTTTCGGGTACAGTAATGACATGGTATCAAAAACACGTACTTCCTGTTTCAGAACAATCGGTTGGCAGGGAATGTCTAATTGGAAAGGAATGCTGGAGTCTGGATGAAGCTGATTTTTAGCAATTGACTGTCCAGGTAGAAATGCTTTTCAGTAAGGGACAAGGTCCTGGAGCTGGATTCGTGCATGTCTGCTCGTTCTGTCCCATGCACATCAGAGGAGGGACCCGTGTCAGACTAGGACTCACCCACAGCCACCCAGTGAGTTGCACAATAAGAGAAATTCTTCATCTGCAGCTGAGGAAGCTGAAGTGTACAGGGAGCAGAAATACTGACCGGCCGCGTTTTCTTCCCACAGCTTTTTTTCAATGAGATGCCGGCTGTGGAAATACTTTTATGTTATTCTGCGGTCTTCAAGGTGCAACAAAGAGGTCTGCAGTGTTACTTTATGGCTAAAAAAACTGCTTTTGGGAGTTGCTATTTTTAAAAACTCAGCTCAGTATATTTGAAAAACCATGTGATCCTTCAGGTTCTGCTGTGATGTTACCCAAATCCGTGGCACTCTTGTACCTAAAGCTGTGAGTTTCACCCATCTGAAAGCCCCTCAGGAGTCTGATGACCCCCTTTCCACTTTGCCTGCAGGACACAGAAGTATCTGCGAGGCTTCCTCCTGCCCTGACACACCTTTGCTAATCAGTGCTGGGGAGCGCTTTACCCAGGCAACCAGTTTTTGGTAAGCAACCAAAAACACTCACAGGAAGAAGCTCTTTTCCTAAAGACCTAAGTTTCAGGCAGATGATGAATCAAATTGGCTGTTTTACCCCTAACAGAGAGATAAGTACTGGTTGCTTCAGAGTAAGAAGAAAGAAAAGAAAAGAAAAGAAAAGAAAAGAAAAGAAGCAAGTAAACAATGGACAGAGCAGTGCTTGCGTGGGGGAGGTGGGGTGGGGAATGCCTTTCCAGATGCTGTGGTGTAACTGTTCAGTTCCGAGGCGGAGATTTGATGATCACTGTCATCTTAACACTAGTACTGGGAAACGTGGGCACCAGCACTGATCTAAGCTGCAGCATGTAACACCGGACCTTATGAGGCTGCCTTGTTTGCATATTTCTAAAGAATACTGTCCCTCTGATTTCTCTTAAGTGTAGATTCTTTCATTTCTTCAGCGTCTCCTGTACTTAAACAGAAACAAAAACAGAAACTGGTAGACAAGAAGCACCTTCCCACTAAATCTTGTCACGTAATGTCACTGGTAGGTTGTACTCCCACCTTCTGTTAGTTGATTGTGAGTCACTTTAGGAAATCTTGCAAGTTCAGCACAGTTCCTTGGATCCATAACTAATTGCCCAACTTTTCTCGTTTCCAATCCGAGCTCTCTTTATGAGACAGACATATTTTGGATAACCAAGTAATATTTACTTTTTATCCTGAACTCTAGATCAACTGCTCTCGAAGAGTCCCTGGGGCTTCTTGTTCCCTGGTGTCCAAAGACGAGACACCTTGGCTGTTCTGCAGCGACTGTGTCGAGCTTTCTGAAATTCCAGGTCAACTGTATTAGCTCTCCTAGCCTTTCCAAACCTTTTTAAAATGCTCTGAAGGACTCGATTTTCCTCAAATAGGATTAGCAAACCAATTTGACTTGATAAAGTTAAAGAAAAAAAGATGCTCCCTCAGTGTTTTTGGAACTGAAGATCGGCCAGACTACTTTATAAGTCAGAGTTCAGAAAGTTTGAGCTTCAGTTACAATATGAATATGAGTAACATGAAACAACAAGAAAGTTGGAAATAGAAGCCAAAGAAGATTATATAGTTGTGGATGAGTTTCCCTTTTAATTCTCTCAGTAATTGCTGAACTGTGGGTAGGTGGGCGGGGAGTAATAATGCCTATCATTATTGCACGCCATTAATTTACAATTAAAGTGATTCTGAAATGAGATTTTGGTAGCCAAATCTAAAGACGACACACAGAAGCTATGGTCACTTGTATGATTCCACATCACTTACGAAGGTCTGCCCAAGTCTCACCCTGTGTTCACTTCTTAGCTGAGCCAGTTTCAGTTTCCAGGGTAAAATGACTTAATGCCTACAACCCACTAATGGCTTTCTATGGAGTACACAGTGTTCGTTACTTAAACGGTGGTGAATTTGTAAACCACAAATACAGCTCCTGGACTTTCTTGCCTGCAGCTTCTCCCATCATTCCAGAGGCTTTGTAAAAATTGGCCCCGCACCCCCGAGCCAGGTGTGCCCCTTCAGCCCACAAGATGAAGTAAGCGTTTTATGTCTCTCAAGATGCTGGGAGAAAAGAGTTCGTCTGTGACTGTGAAATAATCAGTAGCTTTACATGCTAACCTCCAGCCAAAGTACGTTTTAAAAGCATGTGCACGTTGCTAACCTTCTAGCCTAGTTCCTCTCCTCCTTAAAGTGGACGCTCTGTAAACGACAACCACTTGCTCCGTCATTTACGGTTCTGCACAACCATAAGGCAGAGGCCAGAGCAGGGAGCTCCAGCAGGGGCTGCATCGTGTCTTCCAGAACCCCACTTTATGCCGAGTGGCCATTACACTCAGTAAAGTATATTTATGTGGCTCAAGTGTGCCTTAACTCTCTAAGTTATATCGGGTCCTAGAGTGGTTTACAGGCCCCTCTGGCCAATTATATTGAGTTCTGTTTATACAAATCGGCAAGAAGCTACCGTATGCTGATCTCAGCCACCTCCGGGTTCCTCCCATGCACAGTTGCCTTTATCAGAGATATCATATTTTTATGTTCAACATCCCTGGATGGAATTAATAAGGGAAAGAAAGGACGAAGAGCCCATCACACTTATTTTCTCTCGCTCCCAATCAGCACACGAAAGAGAAGCCCTCTCTTCTTGAGTTCATAGCTTAGAATTTCCAGGAATGCAGTGTTTTGGGAGTTGAGAAAACTCTGAAGGAGTTGCTTTTAAGGGAAACTCTAGATAAAGTATTATGTGCGACTGCCCATTGGTTCCCGGTGCACATTCCATTTTACCGACAGGCAAAGCAGAGGAGAACTAGGTAGGCTTTCCACTTCTCTGCGTACATTTGAGAAGTGAATGCAGAGGCAGTTTTAAAGAGGGTGACGTCCTATCAGCCAGGTGTACCCAAACACACACACACACCTTCCGGAGGCCACAGTTAGAAGTGTCCCAGAGGGGAGACGGGGCGTCAGGCTGCACCAGCAGGGTTCGGAGGCAGAGAGGTGTGAGCTTGGTCACCAGCTGCAGGGTTTGGACCGACAGTAACGAAGACCACCATCTCTACTGCACCGGTTATCTCTGGGATGGCGCTGTACCTCTCACAGCTGTTCAGGGTGCATGTTCAATAGCCCAGGTCCAGCAGCCTGCCCGGAGGCACCCCCCCCTGAGAAACCTTGCTTTCCTGACCCTACGGAGAGTGAAGGCACCTGAGTCCCGGTCGGCCTCTGGGCAGGAGGTGTAGCCCACCTGTGCACTGAGGTGTGCTCCTAGGTGTGGTGTGGCAAAGAGCAGGGAGCCCAGCTCCACGGTGGGGTTCTGCTAGAGTACTTTAAGAAGGTCACTTCCGACGTGAAGTGAGGGAGGTAGACGAGACCAAATGTGCCTTAGTCTTCTCGGGCTAAAACTCTACCGAATCTACCCCCAGACCCTACCTACCTCCAAATACCCCGAACCCCACCAGCCTAAGGAATGGCATCCATCAAAGAGACCAGCACCCCTGGTGTTCGGGATTCTGCTGTTCACAGTGGGGGTCACGGGGCCAAGTCACACTGTTGGTTTCCTCCCCACCTCTGACAGGGAGGCGGGGGTTCCGGAAAGCTCAAGGTCAATGTCAGACAGCAAGGGATAGGGGCTGCCCCAGGAGGGAAAGGAAACCAGGCTTTCAGGAAGCACCTGCTGCCGTATCACGTTAGGGACGCGGCCGAAAGGGGCCTGGGCCTGCTCTGAAAGGCAGAGCATGGGGATCCCAGCCCCGACCTGGAGTTGCTACCGGAAGACACCTCGCCAAGGAACGAAAGCAAGGAGGGGGAGGGGGCAGGAGCAAGCAGGGGCGGGAGGCGAAGGACCGAGGTGGACGCAGAGATGGGCGGAGCGGGACCCCAGCCCGGGCCACTCACCACGAGCGGGATGGAGCAGATGAGCACCACCAGGGAGGTGGCGATGAGTAGGATGACCATCTGGATCTCGGCGCCCGCGATGCGGCGGAAGCTCCGGCGGCGGCGAAAGTCGCTGAGGCGCGGCAGGGCGGGGGAGGAGGCGGCCGGGTGGCCCCGGCCGGCGGTCGCGGCGAAGGCCGCCGCGGCGGTGACAGCGTGGTGCTGGTCGGTGCCCAGCGAGGTGCGGCGCATGAACTGGCGGTGCATGCGGAGCAGCGCGCCGCACACCAGCACGTTGCAGAGCACGGTGGCGAGGATGAGGAAGGAGCTGAAGCCCGCGTACATGTAGGAGAAGGCGGCGTGCGCCGTCACGTTGGTGGTCCAGTCGATGAAGCACCAGGTCTCCGGGTACTGCAGCCGCGAGCTCCCCAGGCCCATGTTGGGCAGCGCGCAGAAGAGCACGTTGGACGCGTAGACGGCGAAGAGCGTGAGGCCCGCCAGCCGCTTGTCCACGTAGTGGCTGTAGAAGTAGGCGTGGTTGATGGCCAGGTAGCGCTCGATGCTCATGGCGCAGATGATGCTGAGGCCCGACAGGCCGAAGAAGAGCAGGATGAAGGTGCTGTACTCGCACAGAGCCTGGCCGCCGGGCCACTGGCCCTTCATGTACGTGGCGATGGTCACCGGGCTCACCAGCAACGTGCCCAGCAGGTCGGTGACCGCCAGCCCGCATACCAAGGTGTAGAAGGTCGTCTCCTTCTGCTCCTTGCGCGATTTGCACAGTACCACGATGGCCACCAGGTTGCCCACCACCCCGAAGATGAACATCACCGCCGGGATGGTCACCGGGCTGTTCGGGCTGTTCGTAAGCAAGGAGGCAGACGCATTGGCCGCGGGGGTGGACATGGTGATGGCGGGCAGCAGTAGGCGGCCTTGGAGTGCGAGGCTGGGTCTGAGGATGGTGGAAGAAAGACAGAGGCGCTGTGAGCGGAAACACCACTTGCAAAGTGTCACACCCGCGCCCAAGAAGCAATGTGCTGCTGAGACCAGGGGAACGGCTGGGTCCTACTCTGGGAATTGTAGCCACTTGCCAGCTGCGGCTACTCAAAGCTTCAAGCTCCGGATAACGTCCTGCCCGCAGCACCACTCAACTCGCATTAATATTTATAAGTCGATCCTGCCATTCTCCCCACCCCCGCCGCCCCCCAACTTCAGTCCGCAGCCAAGCGGAACAAGACCTATCTCAAGGGAAAAGTGGCTCGCTCTAATTCCCGACAGATTCTGAGTCAATCATAGCCTCACTGAAAACAAGTTATGAAAGACAATTTGGAGAGCGCGCCCTCTCCTCCCTGGCTCCTCTGGAGGAGGAGCGCGCCCACCCGCTGCCCCCTGCCCAGCGCCCCCAACCCCATCTCACCTGCGGTGGCCGCGGCGGTGGCAGCCGCGTGAGCGCGCAGCGTCAAGCCTCGGAGGTGCTGGACTCGCTTCCGACCTGCCCTCAGTCTCGCCCCGCGTGTCGGGGAGCTCGTGGGGCGTTTGCCTCCTCAGACCCGGGGCTCGGTGGCTGCCAGTTTTCTGGAACTGGGGTCAGAGTGGCCAGCTTTCAAAAACTTGGGGAACCTGGAAGGGCAGCGGGTCTGGGCTGGGGAAGCCTGCTCTTGGGGTTCTTTCTTTCTTTCTTTCTTTTTTTTTTCTATTTTTCCGTTCCTTCAAAGGCGATCCAAGCTTCGTGGAGCCCGCTGGTCCGGTCCGCGGGTGGACAGCCTTCAGGTGCGCGGAGGCGCGCGCAGGTGGCACCGAGTCTCCGTGGAGACTGCGCTCCGGCGGGCTCCTCCGCGGTCCTGGGCAGCGCGCGCGGCTACCGGGGTTGGCGGCTGCCACTGAGGCTGCTTGTGGATCCCTGGGGGTGGCTTGATGTCCTCTGGGCTGGAGGCTCTGATCTGGGACCGCTCATCTTCTCCCTCTCCGGCAGCCGGGTCGCGAGCTCCGCTCCGGCGGTTCCAGCCGCTCTCAGTACAAACTTTTCTCTGGCTTCAAGTTTCCTTGCGGAGGCGGGGACACTCGGCGCGCGGCCCGGGCGCCCATTGGTGCCCATCGATAGGGGCGGGGCGCGCCCTCCTCCGAGCCGCGAGGTAGCCGGGCGGGGCGGGCGGGGCTCCGGGCTGAGTGGCTGCGGGCGGGGTGGCGCGGGGCGCGAGTCTGGGAAGCCCCACTGTGTTCCCGGGCACCCGTCCTCCTGGCTCCTCTGAACTCGGCATCGGGGGGCGGGGGGGCACCTCTGAACCGAGCATCCCTAACTCACTGCCTCCCGCCCCGATGGGCTATTTCTCGCACTGGTACACGCGGGTCGCCACCTCTGGTTGCTGGGATGGGAGGTGCACGGCTTTGGGACTCCACCTGGAGCGGCTGCGGCGTGTGTGAGCGCGCGCGCGCCGGGGGCCTCGGGTTAGAACTAGCGTGCTCACGACAGACTGGGGGTGGGTGGATGGGCGGCTGGGTACCAGGTTTGGGCGGGGAAGAACCGAAGTCATCCTCACCACAAACGGGGTTTGCTGGCAGTTCCCTTCCCAGGCTGCCGGCCGCGCTCCGTAGGTCAGCCCCAGGCACCCAAGGAGACGGGCCGGCAGCCGCCTCTCCTGGCGCAGGTGGCAGAGCCCGGCAGCTGTGGAGAGGTGGCCCGCAGGGGCCACGTGGGGGAGCTGACGTGGGAGCGCGGTCTGTTGGGTCTGTCTAACAACCCAGATCTTCCTCCTCCTCCCGGGAGCTCCGCCCTGTAGGAGCCGTGAGGCTGAGCGTCGGGCCTCTGCCCTGTTACCCTCGCGTGAGACACGTCACCGCGCGCGAGTCCTTCGAAAGGCTGGTGCGGGCGAGACAGGGATTTGAACTCAGCAGAGCAAGGGAGTTCTCCAGTCATTACCTCCGTGGCTGACTTTTGGGAAAGCCGATTTGCTCTGCCTTCTTTTTCTCTGGATGACAGTTTGATTTCTTTTACCGAGGGAACAGTTTTTCTCTAGACTCATTATTCAGTTCCTCATCTTATTTCCTAAAATCAGAACTGAAAACTTAAAAAAAGAAAGAAGAAAAAAAATTATGAAAATGCATGGTGTTATGAAAACCATCTCACCATTTTTTTTTTTAAACCCTAAAGTGGGACCTTGTGGGCCTTCACACAACTTAAATTCCTAGAAGGACCTCTTTCCCTGTGCCCTATACACACACTTCAATATAGTGTATTTCCTCACGGGGTGAGTAACGTGCTTTCTGTGTGTGATAAGCAGGCACTGAGAAGACCTGGAAGGCTATTTCGTGAAGGAACAAACCTAAGAATGTAGCTGGTTCTCCAGTTCCTCTCCCAGGGCACAGTGGCAAACGAGAAACGGGTACGCGCAGAGGGCGTTCCGGGCGTCGGCGGCAGGACAGGAGCCGTCCAGACTCACCCTGACTTGTGTAAGGCACCGGGTGTCCATTCGATTGTTCATGCCGTTTCCCCGTGACTGTCGGGGATTCGGAAGCGAAACCACGTTTGTTGGGCAGCGGACAAAGGAGGGTGGCGCTCGGTCCATTTTCTCAGGGTCCTCTCTTCGCCACCCCTGCGCCGGTTTCTGTTGCCCGCGCCTCCTTCCAGCAGGAAATTCTAGGAGCTGCCGCACTGAACACAAACCGGCTCTAGAAGAAGGAAACCACACTTTCTACCCCGGTTCTTCCCTAACCACATTGCATCACGGACGCCCTGTCAGGGGTTGTCAGTGAGTACGCCCAAAGGGGGTGGGAACTTCTGCTAATAAAAATATCCTTGCCGTTTTATTTTCCCGTGTGAAGTTCCTAAAGTGGGAAACGGTCAGGACTGGTAGCTGTTGGTTTATCGTGATAGAGCGTAGTAAATATAGTAAATATAGTAAAAAACAAAACAAAACTGAGGCACACTGCTGAGATAATTAGGTGTAGTAATCTGAGATAGTAGATCATACAGGTTTTAGCACGGCATTGACAGGCTGCGCCTGTTATTGATGGAGGTGTTTTTCTTATCGGTCCTTTAATTTTTTCCCCCCCCGCAATAGCTTGAGGAAGATGAAGAGAAACAAGAATCCGGGACACAAGACTGAAAAAAAAAATGCAATGAGGTTCACCTATATCCTCTTTTGGTGCATGCTTCTTAAAGCTTCCGTGTAGCCCTCAGAAGCAGAAGGCGAAGATTTGGGAAACAAACGTTCTTCGTCTGAAAAGCCGGGACAGGGCAGTTCCGGTTCCCGCGCACTCTGCCAGGAATCTATGTTGCAAAAAGGGAATGAAGAATTTGCCACGATTATGTGGAAGCTGTTTGTCGCTGTTTGTGTATTTTCAGTGAAGAAGCTTTGATTCTAAACATTGCTTTCCACCCCCCCGCCCCGCAGCTCCCACATCAATCCCTACTTCTCTGCACTGGGAGACCTCGGTTCGGGTCCTTAGAGTTGTCATTAAATCCTCTCTGAAGGCTTGAACTCGCCCAGGAATGGCCTGACGGGTCAGTTTGATCGCTCTTTCCTGGCTCATGGTTTGACCCCTCTTCTGAGTGAGCACCATAAGGCGAGGCCCAGACACGTCCCCTTTGACGAGGTCGGATTGTCGTTGGGGCAGAGGAAGGGATAAGAAAGGGGACCATTGCTGGGAGGAGGGCAGCTGGGCGAACCAGGTCTGGCCCGGACCCCTTACTAAGCCAAAGTGGGCCGTGTCTTAGATCATCCCTGAAACACCGAAAACAGGCATGGAGCAGCACCTGTGCAAACAAACGGCCCGCTCTCTGTCCTCCCCGACAGGCCATGCGGCTACTCGAAACGCAGTGACCAAGGCATCTGTCTGGTCCAAACCACACGGCGGCCTTGGGCACCTTCGCCTTCCCCACGCTCACCCGGTGGGTTCTGGGGGTTGCGAGCATGCCATTCCGCTGACCTTGGACGTGGAAAGAGGTCTGCGATTGCGTCTGTGGCTCCGATGACGGCCCTCCCCTTGTAGTGGTGCGTGTCAACGGTGTGGCCTCCTGATAATTTTTATTTTCTAAGCGTGAATTTTATGCTGAGTCTAGTGCACGATGGAGGTGTTACACGAGTCGGTACTGTGATGAACTCCCCGACGTCTTCATGTGGTGATGAGTTTCAAGGCGGGAGGTGGGTTGCCACCAAGTGATGGCTTCAGGCCGCCTCCTTCTCTGGCAGTTACACTCTTTGAAGTGATGGCTTTCTTCCCTTTTATTCGTTCCCCCTTTTTTCTCCAAACAGATATTTCTACCGCACACCCATCGTGGACTGAGCCAATGAGCAAAGAAAGGGGATTCTTTAGGGGATTCTTATTGTTGCTCATTTTCTAATCCTCCCCTGAGGACATTTTTTCATTGTTTTTAGGGTGACAGGCAGGGAGAGAAAGAAACATCCATGGGAGAGAGAAGCATCGATTGGTTGCCCCCCGTGTGCTTGCGGACTGGGGATCTTGTGCACCCAGGCTGGGGTCTAACCTGCAGCCCAATTGTTGCTCATTTCCGAAGGTACAGGTGGAGAGATTGAGCCTTAGGAGTGCAGAGGAATCTTCTACAGGATGATGATGGACATTCTGGTTATATTTCAGTTTCTTCTGACCCCCCCTCCTCCCGCCGAATTGCTGTGTATTTTAGCACTTCAGAAAATACACTGGACTCCCCGGTTTAATCAAACGCACCGCCACCGTCTGTAGCTTGTTACTCACTTTCCACAGCGTTTTCAACTCGCTCTGATCTTTTCAGCAACCTCCTGAGGGCGTTAGGCAGGTGTGATGCAGGCTGCCATGTTTCACCAAGTCCTGTTTCCATTTCTTCATGACCACATGGCTGGGTGTTATTTCTCGTACTGCCTGTGGTTATGGGAAGTCCGTGCGACTGGGTTCCAGCCAATGGAATCCAGGTAGAAGTGACGTGTGCACTGCCAGGCCTAGCCTTTCGATGACCCCGCCCCTCGGGGGTGCTTTCTCTGTCGGCCTTCTGCCGACAAGATCCAAGGCCCTCGTGTGTCACAGGCCCATTACACAGAGGGTAACTGGGTCTCTGAATGCCTGCATTCCGATCCTACTGATGTTCATGAAGCGGAAGAGAATCCACTTAGACTTGAGGGGCTGCTTGTTTCAGCTGTTAGCCTAGGACTCATACCGTGTGATTGGGATCGTCTCTCTCCCGGAATGACAAGGCAGGCAAGGAAGAGGGATGTGACTTGCTCAAAGGCACGATTAGGAAGACCAGCTGAAATGTATCCAGTGCTTAGTCTGTGTGACACACCGTGCTGAATGCTTTATACACGTGCCTTCTATATCTAACCCTCGTGACAGAGCTCTGAGGAAGTACCACCTAGTCCAGTGTCCATTTTACAGGCGAGCAAACTAAAGCGTGGTCGTTTTTAAACAGACTGCATGGCCTCTGGGGACGGTGGTGCTGAGGCTTCCTGCAGCAGCCGTGGCTGCTGGCTGAGGCCCACCAGTGTGCTGCTACCGGCTTTCCCATCGGCTCCATGCGGCGGGTGGTCTCTCCGATAAACTTCTTTCCTGCTTAAACTGACCACACTCGGTTTCTGTTGCTTGTGAAGCATAACCCCACCCCGTACAGAGAGGCTGAGTGAATTATAGGTCACGCTGTTGATGGATGGCGGGGCAAGACATTCAACCAGGACTGTTGGAGCCCCAGACCTGCTCCCCGACCCGCTGTATTTCTTAGCCCAGCCGGACCTCCAACCACAGAACTCTCAGTCCTTTTTTTTCTTCCTCAGTATCACTGGCTTTGAGATAGAGAAGTTCTGGGTTCAAGGCCAAGGCAGGTAAGTTGGCATAGTGAAAAGTAGTTTTTTATTAATTTGCTTCTTTTGAAGTTTAAGTAATATATATAATAATGAATACTAACAAAATGCCATTCCCATATTAAAAACAAATATTAACCTATTATTGTAGTTATCATCACATATGATTATGCTCCCAAAATTCGCTTCTAATGATTGTATGATTAGTTGTGGAGCATAAATTG